GCCCATATGGGATGCCAGTGCTTCAGGCCAGGGCTTTAACCTGCTGCGCCACAGCGCCAGCCCCAGGTATTTAGATTTTTAAAGTAAGATCTATTTGAAAAGCAGAGTTAGAGAGGAAGACACACACTGAGAGAGAGAGAGAGAGAGAGAGAGGGAGGGAGAGAGAGAGAGAGAGGGAGAGAGAGGGATCTTTCATCTGTTGGTCCACTCCTCAGAGGGCTGCTAGAAGCCTGGAGCTCCGTCTGGGTCTCCCACATGGGTAGCAGGGGCCCGAGCACTTGGTGCCTTCCCAGGTGAATTAGCAGGGAGTTGGATAGACAGTGGAGCATCCAGGACTCAACCATAATGCCACCCCCTTTAACTTTTTATGCACTTGTTTATTGCCATTTTATTTGAAAGGTGACAGAAAGAGAGAGAGAGGGAGAGAGAGAGAGACAGCAAGAGAGAGAGAGAGCGCTCCCATCTGCTAGTTCACTCTCCAGATGCCCCGAAGTCAGGAGCCTGGAACTGCACCCACGTCCTGCCCCTGTGAGTGGCTGGGGCCCAACCACCTGAGCATCACTGCTAAGCTCCGGCAGCCCCTCCCAGCTAGAAGGTCGGATCTCCCCTCTGGGACTGGCCTTGGAAACCATGGGGATTTGGCTGCTCCCTCCCCCCCCACCACCACTCTACCTCCTCCCCGCCTCCTACCCCATCCAGATCCTGCTCATTCTGCAAAGCCCGGGCCCTTGCACACGCGTGCCAGTGCCTCCCCTCCCCCGCCACACCCACAGCTGTTCCTTGCAGCCTGCATAAGCTCCATCTCAGTGTCCACCGCGTAGAGCGGGGGCACATCGCTGTGTGGATTCAGGCGAGGCCGTGCGTGTGGGCGCTGAGGTCACTCGGGCCCAGGGAGGACCTCCGGGCGCTGTTCAGACGCACCCGTCAGACCAGCCTGGCTCAGAAAAACTTCCATCAGAAACCCGACGCCCATGAGCACCCTTCATGCTACGCTGAACGCCGGGCGCAGCGGGTGTCACATTTTCCCCAAGCGGTGCCCAAGCCAGCCTCTGTGCAGTGAGCGAGTTAATGAACAGCTTGTGAGGAGCGCTGCCCACTCGGGCCCGCGCGGGCCCACGCGGAGGGCTGCCAGCGGCCCAAGCTGCCATCACGCCCTCTCCCGTGTTCCGTAAGCGCCTCTGCTCTCCGCTGCTGCAGCTCGCGGCACGGGGGGCGGCTGCCGCGAGGACCCGGCCCTCCCCCAGCAGACAGCGAGCCTTGTCTCCCTCCTGGAAGGGCGAGGGAGGGGGCATGGCATTCCGAGCAGCCCGCGGCTGGCCTCGGGCCAGAACCGAGTGGCAAACAAGAAGGAGCCCATTCCAGGAAGGCGCGGAGCCATGCCAGCCCGCCCAGCCCGGGCGCCCAGCGGGCGGGATCCTCCCTGGGAGGCGGGCACAGGGGAAGAAGTCAGCTTGCTCTTATCCGCTTTCACAGTTGCAGACGCCTCTGCCTCCCAGCGGACAAAACCTGTGTGACCCTGACGGTTTCACCTCCCTGCCTCGGGGCCCAGCCTGCCCACTCCAGATAAATACGAGAAGGGGGGAGCATTTCTGGGGACGAACGCCTGGGCTGCTGCGCCCATGAACACAGCTCCCCTGCCTGGCTCTGCACCTGAGCCCCCCCAGCCAGACAAATGCACACGTGTGTGCACAGATGAGCACGCACCTGTAGGCACAGGTGCACACGGCATACAACACACATGTGTGCACACACCACACGCACGCGGTGTGATGCGTGTGCATGCAGGCAGATGTGCACACACGTGCACACGAGTCCACATGCACCCACACAGGTACCACGGTGCGCACACACATGCACATGATGCACCCACACGTACGCATGCGCACACACTGCACGCACATGCATGCAATGCACTGCACACATACACTGGTGTGCACACAAGGCAGAGCAGAGCTGTGTTAGCGTCACACACAGTGACACAGTCACGCACACATGTAATGTGCACGCCGGCGTGAACACGATGCGCCCACACGCACGCAAACACAAGGCACATAGGTCCACGCGCACGGACGGCGCTGCTCACAGACACGCGGCAGGAGTGCCCCTGTGTCCGTGGGCCCTGGGCAGCCCATCCCCAGGCCAAAGCGTCCTATAGGCTCTCCTTGCGAGCTCTCGCGGTGTCCCCAGACCGCGACGGGGGGCGAGGACCAGGGCGCGGGGGCTCTCCTGCTCGGGGACACGCCGGTGCGCTGGACCCGGCACGGGCCCGGAACCACTTCTCCCCGCCGCGGCCGCCGGGGCCCTGCGGGTGCAGGAGAGCGGGCTCTGTGACTCACCCGGGGCCCGGGGGCTCCGTGCAGGGCTCTGCTGCCCCCTGGCGGGCCACTGCCACCTCGTCCTGCTCGCGGTCTCCGGGCTGACCGCCGCCCTCCACGCCAGGGCCGGCCTCCCTGCTCTGGGCCCCTCCGGCGGGCAGGGCTCCCGCTGCCGTGGGAGGAGAGCGGCCGCGGTTTCCGGCTCCCGGACTCTCCGGTGGAGCCGCGGCCCCTGAGCCCATGGTTCCGGACGCCGGGCCCCCAGCCCGGGGCCTCCCCACCGGGAGGAGGCCTGGGTGTGGTCCCCAGCTCCCCAGGTTTTCCATTCCTCCACTTAAGGACTGTGCAGGGGGCACTGGCGGCCCCGGGCCCTCGGGACTGAGTCTGCAGGACCCGGCCACGCTGCGTCCAGGTGTTCGTTTTTTAGGGAAAGCAGGCACTTGGCTTCCGCAGCCACCGAGCTGCCCCACCAGCCCCCAGCAGGTCAGCCCAGACCCCCACCTCTCTCTCTCCTGTTGACACCGGTGATAAAATTCACAGCACAGAACACTGACCGCGGGCCCGGTTTCAGGTGTAGCAATGCAAGCGTGTCAAGTCCAAGACCGCACCTTGCAGACAGAGCTTCTCTGTGCCCACCCAACAACTCACCGCCCCCTCCCCTGCCGCCGGCAGCCGCCTCCATGAATTTGCTGCTCCAGGTCCCTGCCCTGCTTTCCTGTTCCTTCACCCAGTCGGATCGGCCTCGCTTCTCCAGGCGGAAGGCCACTGCCTCGCAGAGAGACCCACTTTGTTTATACAAACCATGGACGCCACTATGCACAGGGGTCCTCGTTCATCTCCACGACTCTGCTGTTGACTCTTTGGGGTACATACCCAGAAGGGCAAGTGCTCAACCATACGGTAATTCCATTTTTACGTTCAGAAAAATCTTTGAGAGGCAAAGAGGGAGATGGTGTTTCCATCTTCTAGGTCACTCCCCAAATGCCCACCACAACGGCCAGGCCAAAGCCAGCAGCCAGGAAGTCAGTCCAGGTCTCCCACAAGAGTGGCAGGGACCAAGCTACTCAAACCATCACCTGGTGCCTCCCAAGGCTGGAATAGGGAGCAGAGCTAGGACTTGAACCCACTGATACGGGATGCAGGTGTCCCACGGAGTGAGTGGCTTAGCTGCTAAGCTAAAGCCCTGTCCCTGTCTTTAATTTCTGAGTCACTGTACGATTTTCCATGGCGATCGCACCAGGTCGCACGTCCACCAGTACTGCCCAGGGTTCCAGGGTTCCATGACTCACTAGCGCCCCCGGCTTCCGCCACCCTAACTGCGGCTGTGACTTGCATTTCCCTGGCGATGAGCGGCTGGCATGGGATGAGCAAGCATCCTCCGCTGTTAGAGAAGGGTCTCTTCACACCCTTAGCCTGCCTGTCAGGTTGTCGGACGCTGTGTTTTGGGGTTGACCCCTCCAGCCGCTTTCCACGTCCCTCTCCGCCCCGGGGCCCGTGCCTTGGAACCCTGGGGAGGCCACTGCTCCTGGACAGACGCCCACGCTGTGCCCCCTGCCGCAGCAGCGGACCTTCCCCCAGGAATGCTCTTTCCCAGGCGCGCCTTACGCGTCACCCCGAGAGCGCTCCAACAGCCTTCTCCCGGTGCGGCACCTGCGCCACAGTGAAGCCGCAGCTTTGGATGGCCGCGTCCCTTATCGAGCGCCTGGGTTCAGATCCTGGCCCCTCTGCTGCTGATCCAGCTCCCTGCCAAAGCTCACCCTGGAAGGCAGCCGGTGATGGTTCAAGTACTTGGGTCCCAAGCCAACCCCCCCACCCCAACATGGGAGACCTGGACTGATTCCAAATAAAGTGAAAAAGAAAATTTAAAGCCACGTCCCTTTTACCTCACATCACCGTTCCTCTCCTTCATGGAATTTAATCAGAGCCTGGAATTATGTTTACGTATTCACTCTGAAGTCAACGTTCACCTGGGTAAGTGCAGCACTTTGGGGACACAAGATGTTGGGTCTAGCGGTAGCTCTGAACACACATATTTATGGGAAAAAAAATGAATCACTGCTAGCTGGGGACTTTGGAGAGGGAGAGGACAGGGAATAGGACCCAAACTGGAATATTTATTTATTTGAGAGGCATAGAGACAGCGAAAGCGAGGCAGAGTTCCTGTCGGCCTGTTCACTCCACAAATGCCCACCATGGCTGAATCAAAGGCAGGGAGCCTGGAACTCAATCTGGCTTTCCCAGGTGGGTGTGGCAGGGACCCAGCCACTGGCGTCCCCCAGGGCCTGTATTAGCAGGAAGCTGGAGTCAGGAGCTGGAGTCAGAGCTAGCACTCTGACGTGAGGCACGGGCATCTCAACCATCAGGCCAAATGCCCCCTCCCTCCAAAAAAAAAAAAAAAGTGGGATTTAACCTTTCTCGCTAGGCTTAATGTCACAGGAAAAGTCACAGGGGGTTTTGGCTTAGAATTTCACACACTAATTCCCGCGTCTGAAGCATAGTGCACAATGCTATGGGAGTCAGAGACGCTACTCTGCAGGCCTGGGGTCGAGTCAGCTCAGCCACAGGCCCCGGAGGTCGGCAGAGCAGCCGGGGTTCTGGGAATGACGTGGGCCCTCTGTCCCATCAGTACCAAGCAAGGGTGGAAACCGACTTCCCATTCCACAGGACACGAGAAAATCCTGCGGGTTTGGTTGTTTGTTTTTTATTTTTTTGTCTTTTCATTTGAACACATTTTCAACAGCTGACGCCACAGTGGGCCAACCCAAGAGTTGCTAAGCCCAACTCTGGGTGCCTCAAGGGAGCACCGGCCAAGGTAAGCAGGTCCCATAAGCACCCCTCACTCGTGAATCAGAGTGACAAAGGCACAGGGGCCTCAGGGGACCAGGCCGGGGCACAAGAGGGAGAAACAGAGAGGGCCAGGCCCACACCAGCCAAGCCCCGGGCCTAAGCAGGCCTCCAATGCTACCTCCTCCACCGCACGCTTCTGAGCCTCCCCGGGGCTGGCGTATGGCAGGAAACCAGGCTGCCAGCACCCCGGCAGAGCCACGCACGACCCGGCCCGGCCCGGCCCCTCCCGGCCTCTGCGCAGCCTGGCAAGGCCCAGAGAATGGACCTGTTCCCCCTGCCTTTCCAGAACCCAGGGAGTGGAAGCGCCGGGGCAGGATTCTTCCCCTGAAGATTCCATGGAAGGGGGCTGGTTCCAAACACAGCGCGGCCTTTATCTGGGGCGGCACAGTGAGGCCTGAACCTGAGTTTCGGCTGAGACCAACAATCGTGTGCCAGCCACGTGCACAGCCAGGCTTGGCGCTGAGCCCTGAAGCCAGGACAGTGACAGGGAAGCATGATATCACCAAGGCCCCGGGGTTCGTCACAAGCAGAACAGATAGTCCCGGCTCTGCAGTGGACAGTCTGCACCTGAACTTCGGCCCCTGATTAACCTCTTGGTGTCCACGGAGAGGAAGCCTGTGGTATTTCCAACACCACCCGTGGCACAGCCGGTGACTTTCCCTGATACCTCTGACCTCCTGTGATGGCCCTTCCAGACCGTCCTGTCCCCGCGGGTGTCAGGTAGCCCCTCGGCCAGGTTGCTTCGCCGCACCAGGCCCACCTGGGACACCGGCACTTTCGTCACGTCACCGAGAGCCTCCCCACACCTGACAATGCCTGCAGGTGGCATGCATGAACTTGGCCCTGCAGTCCCCAGCCCAGCCGCCAGGGGTGTCAGCAGGGAGAGTACAGCAAGACCTCAGCTCAACACCCACCCCTTCCTGTCGCCCCCTCCCAGGCCTGGGACACCCTGGAAACGTGTGGGACCATGGGGGACGGGGAGACCCAGTGCCACCGTGCTTCTCCAGGGCCTCCCGTCTCGCCAGAAAGTGGCAGCTAGGACTTCTACGCTGGGCTGTCCATCTCTTCACAGTCCAGCCACCGTCCCCTGTGTGGGCAGTCTCTCCCTCACCACAGAGTGACACAGTTCCTCTCGGCCAGTGCCCCACGCCTGGCTCCCCGCACGGCTCTGTAGCAGGGACTCCCAGGGCCTAGAGAGCCCGCAAGTCCCACCAGCACAGCCCGCTGTGGAGTGGCCGCGTGACAGAGCTGCATTCCACACACAGAGTGTGGCCGCCGGCCCTGGAATGGCTCCCAAGGCGCAACTTGGATTCTTTCGCACTGAAGTGGCTGCTGAAGCTTTGTGCGCAGAATTCCTCAACTCGTTCCAAAACTCTGGCTTTGCATTGGAGCCCCAAAACTTGCAGGAGCCACCACCTTGTAACAGGTGCTTCAGCTCGCTCGCTGAGGGGGCGTGGGGGAGGGCGTCTAGAATGTCCTCAGACTCCATCAGCCCAGCCGCAGCGTGAGCCGAAGGGATAGCACCCGGAATGTTGTTCTTTTTTAAGGCAGAGAGAGAGAGAGAGAGAGAGAGAGAGAGAGAGAGAGAGAGGTCTTCCACCAGCTGGTTCACTCCCCACACGGCTGCAACAGTCAGAGCTGGACCGATCCGAAGCCAGGAGCAGGAGCTTCTTCTGGGTCTCCCACATGGGTTCAGAGACCCAAGCACTCAGGACATCTGCTGCTGCTTTCCCAGGCCATAGCAGGGAGCTGGATCAGAAGTGGAGCAGCCAGGACTTGAACTGGTGCCCATACAGGATGTCGGCATCACAGCTTAACCTGCTACACCACAATGCAGGTCCCATGGAATGTTCTTCTTGGAGAAGGAGTGGGGACGATGGGCAAGCAGCTGTCACCTGCACACAGCAAAGATGCCTGGATCAAGAACGGGCCCCGAAGGACACATGGACACGGGCGTGAGGCTGGGGAAGACTTTCCGCCCGGGAGACTGGGCCCCACCCCCGCTGAGAGCCAGCGAGCCGGCTCAGGACGGGGTCAAGTGCAGCCAGGCCCCGACCCTGACCTCCACCCACACCCAAGGGCAGCAGGAGCCCAGGGCCTCACCTGTGCCCCGGGACTGGGCCCTCCCAAGTGAAGGTGCACAACTGCTGCTCCAGCCGCGAGATGCGGACGGCCAGGTAGGACGAGGCCAGGACCAGGAAGCAGATCCTAGGGAGAGGGAAGGGCAGGGCTCAGCCTTCCGTCCAGAAAAAGGGTGACTGAAGGCACCAGCGCCAACCCTGGGGACCGACAGCAACGTCCAGGCCCGGACACCTTTCTTCCCAGGGGCATCCTCACAGCCCAGCAGTCCTGGGTGCTCCGGCAGAGCCCGGACAGCCACAGCTGTCCCCACTTCCTCTGTTCCCAAAGGTGGAAGGCCCACTGTCCCTGCAGGTGTTGAAACTGAGTCACAAGCCAGCTGACCCAGAGCAGGTGGGACGCAGAGGGGAAGGGGGTGGGCTGGCTGTTCCTGTTACTTCCCGCCACGCTCACTGCCCTGGCCAGTGCCTGGACCGTCCCCAGGGAGCCAGGGGTTCTAGAAAAGGCCCTCGTGGTGGGCAGCCAGGAGGCCACGATCATCCCTGGGCAGGCTTTCCCCCAGCCAACGGTCGGCCACTCCCTGGTGTCCCCATTCGGAGCAGCGGCTCCTCCTCCTCTCAGCAGTTCCCTCGTCAGCCCCTCCCCACAGCATAGCCTCACCCTGAATTAATTTCAGGAATAAAACTGGACGGGACCAGCGCTGTGGCATAGTAGGTAAACCCTTTGCCTGCAGCACCAGCAGTGGCCGCTCCACTTCTGAGCCAGCTCTCTGCTGTGGCCTGGGAAAGCAGCTGAAGATGGACCAAGGGCTTGGGCCCCTGCACCCGTGTTGGAGACCTGGACGATGTTCCTGGCTCCTGGATCCAGTCCACCCAGCCCTGGCCATTGTGGCCATTTGGGGAGTGAACCAGCAGATGGAAGACCTCTCTCTGTGTCTCTCCCACTCTATGTAACTGCTTCTCAAATAAATAAATAAATCTTATAAAGAATAAAAATGGAGGAGGTAGGCAGTTAAGATATTACTTGGGATGTCTGCATCCCATATCCGAACGCCTGGGTTCAGATCCTGGCTCCGCTTCTGATCCAGTTTCCTGCTATCGCATACCCTGGAAGGCAGCAGGTGATGGCTTAGGAACTCGAGCACCCGCCACCCACACAGGAGTCCTGGATGCTCCTGACTCCTGGCTTTGGCCTGCCCCAGCCCCAGCCCTGCAGGTATTTGGGGAGTGAACCAGCAGATGAAGATTCTCTGTCTCTCTCAGTTTCTCTCCTTTCACCGCTTCTCTGTCTCTCTACTGCCTTTCAAATAAAATGAAAATAAAGTATTCTTAAAAATAACAAAAACTGGGGCCAGAGCTGTGGCATAGTAGGCTAAGCCCATGCCAGCATTCTATATGGACGCCAGTTCAAGTCCCAGCTGCTCCACTTCCCATCCAGCTCCCTGCTAATGTGCCTGGGAAAGCAGCGGAGGATAGCCCAACTGTTTGGGCCCCTGTACCCATGTGGGAGACCCGGATGAAGCCCCTGACCATGACCTCCCCTGGTCCAGGGCCCTTTCCAAACCCCTGGACACGGGGTGGGCTGCCCTCCTCCCCACAGCGCCACCTACAGCACGAAGACGACCTTGAGGAGCCGTGAATCCCAGAGCCTCAGCTCAGGGCTGCTCTTGGGGGGCTCCCACTGCAGTGGGTCCTCCGCGGTGGCCACAGCCTCTGCCAGAAAAAAACAGTAGGCACCTGCTTAGGTAGCCAGGACCCCCACCCCTGCCAGGGCCAGGCCCCCCTCCGCCATTGTCTGAAGCTGCTCGGCTTTGACATTTCATCTCGTGGGAAGTCAGCCAAGTCCCCGTGGGCTCACCAGACCCCGGAGGCTTCCTGGAGGGGAAGGGGCTGTCTGTGGAGTCTGTGGGCGCCCGAGGGACACACGGGATGTTATCTGGGAGAGACAGGGACCTGGAGGCAGGGCACACGTTCCTCCACTTCATCTCGGGGATGCGAACCTCCTGCCGAAAAGACGGGGGACACTGATGGCCACCCCTCCCCCCTCCCGCCCACACCCAGGGGACCAAAGCAGGTGGAGGGGTTGCCATGGCAACCAAATGCCTCTCCTCAGCAGGGACCACACCGGCCCCTCTGTCTTGGAAGACGGTGGGATCTCAGATGTGAGCCAAACCAGGCGCCCCCGCGCTCCCAGCCCAAGAAGGCTTGGCACAGCAGGGCTGCGGCAGGGTAAGTTAGGGCTCCTCGTAGTCCCCACTGCAATTCAGGTCAGCGGCTCACTGACCTGGGCAGGGCACTCAGACCCCACCAACAAAAACGGGAACATCACCTTCCATCTGCTACATGCTAATGAGCACACCGCATGCCTGGTGACACACTTGACAGTCACCAAGGGACACTTCAATCACCCAGCCTGTGCCTGCCCCAGAAACCTGGCTCAGCAGTGACCCCGCTCAAGGGACACCCAGATCCCATATCACAGTGCCTGGGTTTTCAGTCCCAACATCGCACTCCAGCTTCCTGATAATGTGCCAGAGAGACAGCAAGCGAGGGCCCAGGTACTTGGATCCTCCCACTCACAAGGGACAGAGGCCCTGGGAGACCTGGTTGGAGTTCCTGGCTCCTGGCTTCAGCCTGGTCCAGCCCTGGCTATTGTTGGCATTTGAGGAATGGCCCAGCCGATGCAGGAAAAAAAACCTCCCTCTTTTTCTCTCTCTTTCACATAAATAAATAAAGTTTTTTTTTTTTTAAAGAAACTGATCTGTGGGTACCCAGGGCCCCGGCCGCCACAGGAAACTGCTGGAACCTTAGCAAATTGTGGCCACGTCTGGCCAGGTTCCACAGGGACGGCCTCCGGCTCCTCCCAGGGACATCTCTATCCCCAGAGGGCACCCTCTCCCTAGCAGACGGGTGCTGGCCTTGCATCTACACGGCGGCGGGACCCGACCTGGCCAGTGCTCCGTGGGCTCAGCTCCCCTGCTTCTCGGAAGGCCAGCAAATCTGCCGAGGACCTGGTTGCTCTGCAGGGTAGGGAGCCCGGCAGAGCTGGGGGACCCCCTGGCATGGCACGGCACAGGCTGTTTGGCCTGGTGACCCCGCTGCACGCTGCGCGCCCCTCCGGGGGGGCCCTGACACAGGCTGTGCCCCCGGGCTCTGCTCTCACCAGAGGCTCACACCTGGGCTCCTCTGGGCACTTCCGCACACTCAGAGTCTTCTTGCTACAAGGCTGAGCAGGGGAGGAAACGGGCAGGGTCAGGCACGGAAGGCACCAGCATCCCCCCACCCAGGAAAGGGCTTCACCTCCATGCAGCCACTGCGTCCGTGACACCCAGCGCCCAGAGTCTGCGGGAGCCCTACTTAACACCGGAGCAGAGGGGTAAACCCCACGTGACTGCCCCTCTGCCTCCCCAGAGGCCGGGGCCACAGCAAAGCTGCCCCATGCTCCTATCTGTGCAGACAGATACCCATGGGGACCACAAAGGCCCTTGGCCACACCAAGACACAAGCCCAGGCACACAGCTCCACCCACGCCTGCTCCTTGGACTGGACACATCACCCCCCACCCCCACCCCCACCCCCACCCCCATAGCCCTGCCCAGGACCTGGATCCGGGCCTGGCCTGACTCCTGCCCCTGAGCTCCGCACCTGCAGGTGCGTGCAGACCCTCCTGAGCAGGTCGTACACGCTGTCCCGGGAGAGCAGGGACACGAAGACGTACTGTACGTGGAAGGAGACGGGCGGTGACAGCGGTCCGTGAGGATAAGCAAGACCCCCGGCCAGGAGCCCTCCGCCGGCTGCCCCACAGCCCGAGCTGCCCCTGGAGAGCCATGTGGCGGGCAGAAGGGAAGACCCAGGAGTGGGCCGGGGCAGGCTGGGGAGCGGGGCTGGGCGGGGACCCGGCTGGAGACTCACAGACCTTCTGGCTGGTGCTGGTGGTGATGGCCAGGCCGTTGGGAAGCAGCCGCGCCATCTTGTGCTTCTTGATGATTTGCACCGACAGCACTGGAATGACCACCTGAGAGGGAGGCGCACGCTCGTTCAGGCCTCCCCCGTGCGCCACGGCACCTGCTCTGCAGCAGCCTGACCCCAGGCACGGGGCACCGGAACACCACCCTCCCCTTACCCCACCTTGCCCAGCCAGCACCTCACTGCGGGGCGCTCGGTGAGGTCAGACCCTCGTAGCTACGAGGCCATCTGGCAAATCCCAAGCCCTAGTGACGGGGCTCCCCGGCCACCTCCCGCGTGCGACATTCCCTCCAATGCCCGAGGCCTAGTTTGCTATTCTTTTTTTAAAGATTGATTTATTTATTTGAAAGGCAGCATGACAAGGAGAGACAAAGAGCTCTTCTACCCACTGGTTCATTCCCTAAATGGCTGCAAAAGCCAGGGCTGGGCCAGGCTGAAGCCAGGAGCCAGGAACTCCATCCAGGTCTCCCATGAGGGTGGCAGGGGCCCAAGGACTTGGGCCACTTTCTACTGCCTTCCCAGGCCACACTAGCGGAAGCGGGCTGGGAACGCGCTGTCTCGGGACGCCAGTGCCAGGGCCCCCGAGGCCTTTCCAAGACACTTGCAGGAGCGTCTGAGCAGTTCAGGCCACGTGCTAGGTCTCTGCCTTCTAGAAGGGGCGGGGGCAGCCCTCCCCCTCGTGCCTACCTTGATGTCCTTGCCGAAGAGGCTGGCGTGGAAGCAGAGCCAGTTGGGAGAGATGTAGAGCCGGCCCTGGAGCAGGAGGTCTCTCTGGAGGGCGCAGGAGCACACTGGGAGAACAGCAGGGGAAAGGCAAGGTTGACCAGAAGCCCCAGAGCCCAGGAGCCCAGAGTCCAGCTCAGCCTGGCTGCTTCCTCCCTCCCCAAACAGTCTGCTCCCCTGGGCTCTGAGAGCGTCTCAGCAGGAGCCAGACTCCTCCCCCCCCCCCCCCCCCCCCCTCCAGGCCCCCCAGGGCGGCTGGGAAAGCCCCTTGCGAATCTGGAATCTCGGCCTCACGAGAGAGCTCCATTCCATCCGCCTTGAGAAAGGGCCCTGGGTGGGCCACTGGCCCCTGCGTACGCTCAGTGAGGGCCTGAGCCGGAGACAAGGAGACAGCAAGGAGCAGAGCAGGCATGAGGGCTGGGCGCCTGCACGCCTGCAGGGACCTTCACAATCCGGCCCCGGCTCTCCCTTCTGGAGAAGCAGCGGGGCAGCCAGGCCCCAGCACCCTGGCTGCCGCTCCAGCCACAGCTCACCTTTGAGCACCGTCTCCTCGGCGGGGATGTCCTTGAACAGCTTGTGGTACTGCTGGTTCGACTTACTCAGCAGGGCCTGCAAACACATGCCGGCTGGTGGGAGAATCCCTGGGAGCCCCGTGGGCCCTCTCTCATACCAGGAAGGGATACCGGGGAGGCCTAGAGATTCCGCCTGCAGATACCAGGAGCCAAATTCCAAGCACATAAGTCCTGAGAGCAGCCTGTGACTGGAGGGGACCCCCTACTCTGCTCCCCCCACCACCGCACAGATGGGTCTGGGTGACCAAGCAGACGAATGTCACCGAGCCCGGGTGCAGGCAAAAAACCAGGCCCTCGGGGGGGGGGGGGAGCCAGCCCTGCACACTTACCCCTGCCCGGCCACACTTCTTTATCTCTCCGCCCTTGGAGCCCTCTGGCCAGTGCAGGCTGCAAGTGGACGCTGCATTCCAGGGACAGGCGGCCCCGGAGCCCTGCCCACGCATCCTCCGTGCCCACTCTGCCTGGGTCTCGGGCCAGCAGCTCTGCGCAGGGACTGGAGACTCCAGCCCCTCTCTAGGAACACAGCAAAATGAGAAGGGCATGGGCTGCCAGGCTGAGGAGTCGCACACCCCTGGACGTCTGGGACTCACTCCAGTGTCTGGCTCAGGGCCAGGCAGAGGGGCAAGCAGTGCAGGTGCAGGGCCCAGCCTGGGGGCGGGGTGGGGGTGGGGAGCCGGGGGTCCAGGAAGAACTTGCTGCCTTGCGGCTGGGCGCAGAGGTGTGCACGGAGTAGCTGAGCACAGCTGCCGGAGGCTGGCCAGGTGGGAACACAGGGGTGGCGCTCAAATGCAAACCCTGTGGGCAGGAGGAAGCTCGGACCCGAGAAGGCTGTGCTCTGCCGGGTTCAAGCACCTTGGCCGGCCCTGCAAGGTCTCAGCCTGGGGCGCCCTTCCTAGCGGTCTCCTGCTGGGGGCTCCCCACCCCCCAAGCTGTCTGCACCTCTGAGCCCGAGGGGTCTCACCCGGCTGGAGATTCCGGCACTCGATCTGCTTTCCTTAGCAGGACACAGGGCTCCCCAGAGAGGCCGTCTTTCCGGGCATGAGCTGTTTGCTAGGGAGAAGCAGATGCACTGCTGGAAGGGAGTGTCCGGGGAAGTCGGGGCAGCTGCCTCTGTCCGGGCCCCACCCCCACACAGCCTGGCTCCGACTTTCAGGGTTGGGAAGCAGCAGCAGAGGTTCTGGGGGGCGCTGAGGAGCGGCCGGCAGCCTCAGGCACTCTCAGCCTCCTTTCCTGGAAGCTGAACTTCAGTTTGCACCTGGCCCAGTAGGAAACTCACTCACAACAGCCCCGGGGCCAGAGTCCGCCAGCTGGGAACCCAGGCGGGGTGGGCCTCCAGCCCTGCCCTGGAGAAGCCCCACGGGAGGGCAGGACCAGGCACCTGCTCACGACTGCGAGGGAAGGTTTCAGAGGTGCCCGGCAGCATTTCTGTAAACCCTTGGGTTCTGGGAAGGGACGTGGGCCGGGCAGCTTCATCCAGCTGAGCAGTGGGGGAGGGAGGGCCCGCAGGTGGCCACAGAAAGCCAAAGCATCTGAAAAATGTCCGAGGGAAAGGGCCGTGAGTCCCTTCACTCCTGCTCTGCCAAGGCTCGGGCTCTACGGAGCTGCAGCAGCCGGGCCCTCAGCCGATCTGGAGCCGGCACGTCGCCTGCAAGGCCGCAATCAGCTGTGACCAGGAAGTCCCATCTGTCCCCAGGCTCTGCCAGGCCCGGCACAGTACCTTACAAATGAGCAAACGGAGGCCACCAAGGGACAGGCCGTGCCGTGCTCCACAGAGAAAGCCAGGGCACCCCACCCACACGACCGGCACAGCCATGTCCCTGTGGCCAGGGGCCTTTAACCCGGGCCTCACGGAGGGCTCTGACACTCAGCAGCAGACAGGCATGGGGACCGTGGTCCCTGACACTGCCTCTCCAGGGACATCAGGGCGTGCACGCACCCTGAGGGTGCTCGCACAGGGTCAAAGTTAGCACCTCGCAATGTGCTTATCAGAACCTGTCATGTGACTGCGCTTACTGGGTCTCACGGGGATGGTGGCACCACTGACCCCACCCTTGGATCCTCAGTTCATTGGCCGGAGTGATAACTTCCACATGCCTTTTTTTTTTTTTTTTTTTTTTTTTTGACAGGCAGAGTGGACAGTGAGAGAGAGAGAGAGAGAGAAAGGTCTTCCTTTTGCCGTTGGTTCACCCTCCAATGGCCGCCGCGGCCGGCGCGCTGCGGCCGGCGCACCGCGCTGATCCGATGGCAGGAGCCAGGAGCCAGGTGCTTTTCCTGGTCTCCCATGGGGTGCAGGGCCCAAGCACCTGGGCCATCCTCCACTGCCCTCCCTGGCCACAGCAGAGAGCTGGCCTGGAAGAGGGGCAACCGGGACAGAATCCGGCGCCCCAACCGGGACTAGAACCCGGTGTGCCGGCGCCGCTAGGCGGAGGATTAGCCTAGTGAGCCGCGGCGCCAGCCAACATGCCTTTTTTTTTCCCCTTTTTTATGCTCATTATAGAAAGTGAGAAATATATATATATATATATGCTCACAATCACCCATAAGAAAAACAATTCCTTAATGATCACCAAATGGGGCTGGCATTGTGCCACAGTGGGTTACATATTTAACAAGTAAATAAATAAATAAGTCACCCAAAGAAAAGGTTTCTGCATAAAATACATATGTGGATCATGTGGCACATAATTTTTAGACCTCATTTTTTAAATTCGATTTTTATTAAATTTTATTTTTTAAATTTTGATTTGAAAGGCGGAGAGACAGAGGAAGAGAGATCTTCTGCTCACTAGTTCCCTCCCCAAGCACCCGCAATAACCAGAGCTGGACCAGGCTGAAGCAAGGAGCCTGGCACCCCACCCAGGTCTCCCACGCGGGCGGCAGGGACCCAAGTCCTTGAGCCGTCAGTGCACCTCCCATGGAGTGCGTCAGCAGGAAGCTGGAGTCAGGAGCGGAAAGCAGACACAGATACTGGAAGCAGGCAAGCCTGGGGGTCACTTAAGTGCTGAGCCAAATGCCGCCCCGTGGCCTACACCTGTTGCTCCACGAGCTTCCAGGGCAGTTTTCCAGGTCACTGTCGACGCCAGGGACCAATTCCTCAGAAGTGAACTTAGCCTGAGAACGCAGGGGCCACACCAGTCACCTGGCGTCACCGTCACCTCTGCTGCTCCACACCTCTCACCTGTGCAGTGATCAAGAGGGAGAAGGCAGGATGGTGGGAGGGAGGGAAAGAGAAAGAGAAGGAGAGAGAGACTCGCCCATCCACTAGTTCATTCCCCAAGTGGCTCTAACAGCCAGGGCTGGGCCAGGCAGAAGCCAGAGAGCCTGCAGCTCCACCCAGGTCTCCCATGCCCAAGCTCTTGGGCATCTCCTGCTCCCTGCCCAGGTACATTGGCAGGGAACTGGATCAGAAGTGGAGCAACTGGGACTCGAACCAGCACTCAGCTGGGATGCTGGCACTGCAGGCCACAGCGTAACCCACTGTGCCACCATGCTGACACTATGCTGTTTGTTTTTTTTTTAAGATTTATTTTATTTACTTGAAAGACAGAGTTACAGAGAGAGAGAGAGAGGTCTTCCTTTTGTTGGTTCACTCCCCAGATGGCCGCAACAGCTGGAGCTGCGCCGATCCAAAGCCAGGAGCTTCTTCCTGGTCTCCCACATGGGTGCAGGGGCCCAAGGACTTGGGCCATCTTCTACTGCTTTCCCAGGCCATAGCAGAGACCTGGATCGGAAGTGGAGCAGCCGGGACTAGAACTGGTGCCCATACGGGATGCCGGCGCTGCAGGCCAGTGCTTTAACCCGCTGTGCCACAGTGCCAGCCTCCCAATGCTGTTTTCATTTGTAGTGCTGCTTCCCGGTAGGCTGGATTTTTTTCCCTGCAAATATATACTAACCTTTGGAATTTCACCTGTGGATCACCTATATGACTCTCATATACATTCTTTGTTGGAAATATTAATCTTTTTTTTTTTTTTGGACAGGCAGAGTTAGACAGTGAGAGAGAGACAGAAAGGTCTCTGTGTGCTGTCTCTGATCACGCTGTGCCGAGAAGCCAGGTGCTTCTCCTGGTCTCCCATGGGGTGCAGGGCCCAAGCACCTGGGCCATCCTCCACTGCACTTCCAGGCCACAGCAGAGAGCTGGCCTGGAAGAGGGGCAACCGGGACAGAATCCAGCGCCCCGACCAGGACTAGAACTCGGGGTACCGGCGCCACAGGCGGAGGATTAGCCAAGTGAGCCGCGGCACCAGCCGGAAATATTCATCTTTAGTTTAGCACCTTTACAAACATCGTCCCTAGCTGGTCATTTGCCTCTTGTCTGTGGTGTCTTTCCTGTCTATGCACCAGTGATTGTGGGCCAGGTCCCACCCACCTCGCCCACCTTCTGTTTCTCCCTTGGTCTGTGTCCTTTCACTGGGAGGGGGCAGCACGGCCGTTGCTTGGGGAACCAGGATCCCATATCAGAGCGCTGCTTCAAGTCCAACTCCCTGCTGCTACGCCTGGGAAGCAGTGGATAATGGCTCAGACACTTGGGCCTCGCCTCCCATGTGGGAGACCCGGATGGAGCTCCAGGCTATGGCCCTGGCCCAGACCTGCTGGTTGCTGTGGGCGTTTGGAAAATAAACCAGCAGATGAAGGTTCTCTCCCTCTCTCTTTTTCTCACTATGCCTCTCTGACACTGGCTTTTAAATAAATAAATCTTTTTTGGAAAAAAGTTCATGGACTGGCACTGTGGCTTAGCAGGTAAAGCCGCTGCCTGTAGTGCCGGCATCCCACGTGGGCACCAGTTCGAATCATGGCTTCTCCACTTCCGATGTAGCTCTCTGATGTGGCCTGGGAAAGCAGTAGAAGATGGCCCAAGTCCTTGGGCCCCGGAACCCGTGTGGGAGACCCAGAAGAGGCTCCTGGCTCCTGGCTTTGGATTGTCGCAGCTCCAGCCATTGCAGCCAACTGGAGAATGAACCAGCAGATGGAAGACCCCTCTCTCTCTTTCTTCCTCTCCTTCTCTCTCTGTGCAACTCTGACTTTCAAATAAATAAATAAATCTTTAAAAAATATAAAATAAATCTTTAAAAAATGAATTTATTTTGGTACCAAAACTTCATGAAAAATGTGTATTAAGAAAAAACAAGGGCCTGGCCTGGCAGCACCGCCTATCACAAGGGCACTGGTTCGAGTCCCAGCTGCTCCACTTCTGATCCAGCTCTCTGCTGTGGCCTGGGAAAGTAGCAGAGGATGGCCCAAGTCCTTGGACCCCTGCATCCACATGCAAGACCAGGAAGAAGCTCCTGGCTCTAGCCTGGCCAACTCCTGGCCATTGAAACCATTCGGGGAGTGAACCAGTGAATGAAGATTTTTCTCTGTGTGCCCCCCTCTCTCTGAAACCGTATTTTTCTTTTATCTTCTCTTTCTCTTTCTTTTTTTCTTTTTTTTTTTCTTTTTTGAAAGGCAGAGTGGACAGTGAGAGAGAAAGAGACATAGAGAAAGGTATTTCTTTGCCATTGGTTCACCCTCCAATGGCCGCTGTGGCCGGTGCGCTTCGGCCGGCACACCGTGCTGATCCGATGGCAGGAGCCAGGTGCTTCTCCTGGTCTCCCATGGGGTGCAGGGCCCAAGAACTTGGGCCATCCTCCACTGCACTCCCAGGCCACAGCAGAGAGCTGGACTGGAAGAGGGGCAACCAGGACAGAATCCAGCACCCTGACTGGGACTAGAACCGGGTGTACCGGCGCCACAGGTGGAGGATTAGCCTAGTGAGCCGTGGCACCGGCCTTCTCTTTCTTTTTTTAAGATTTGTTTATTTATTTGACAGGCAGAGTTACAGACAGTGGGAGAAACAGTGGGAGAGAGAGAGAGAGATCTTCTATCTTCTCTCCCCAAATGGTCACAACGGCCAGAGCTGGGCTGATCTGAAGCCAGGAGTTAGGAGCTTCATCTGGGTCTCCCACGTGGGTGTAGGGGCCCAAGCACTTGGGCCATCTTCTACTGCTTTCTGAGGCCATTAGCAGGACACGACCCAGCGCCCACATGGGACGCCAGCGTCGCAGGTGGAGGCTTAGCCTACTACACCACAGCACCAGCCCCTGTAGCTGTCATTCACAAAACAGAGAACCCCCGAGGAACTGCCCAGGCCATCAGGGGTATGCACATCCAAAAAGCCACCGAGTGTGTGAGACATCGCATGACAGAAGCCACGTGTGCCACTCCGCCCTCACGAGGGTGCAGCTGGGGGGTGTGCCGAGGCCGAGCAGGGGGGTGGCCTCAGGGTCAGTGGCCCAGAAAGAGTGTGGAGTTTCTGCTGCGTGAGCTTAAAACTGCAGAGAGCGCCGCTCAGCTGAAGGATCCGGTGTAGACCCTCTGCTCACTGAGTATCTCCGCGTGAACAAAGCCCCTGGATGGGCCGCCGTCCCCATAGGGCCCGTGGTCGCATGACCCCAGGCATGAGCTCCCCGTGCCACGAGGACGTGATCCTCACTGAAAATAAATCCAAGTTGGGGGCCGGCGCTGTGGCCTCCATATGAGCGCTGGTTCAAGTCTCAACTGCTCCACTTCCAATCCAGCTCTCCGCTATGGCCTGGGAAAGCAGTGGAAGATGGTCCAAGTGCTTGGGCCCCTGCACCCGTGTGGGAGACCTAGAAGAAGCCCCCGGCTCCTGGCTTCAGATCAGCCCAGCTCTGACCATTGTAGCAATTTGGGGAGTGAACTAGCAAACAGAAGCTCTCTCTCTCTGTAAATCTGCCTCTCTAATAAATAAATAAATCTTAAAAATAAATAAATGCAAATTAAAAGAATACAAAATAAGTAAAAGCAACTCCTGTCCATGTGATCAGCAGGGCGGTGACAGAACTTTCCAGCCCTTCCCATCATGCCCTGGGATGGAGACCCCGCCTGTCATAGAGATGGCTTTCGACACCATCTTCCATTTCAGACCCTCCACTGAGTCCTCCCCTCTCCTCCCTGCAATGTCTGCTCAGAAGGAAGGCAAAGAAATGGGAGCAGGCAGTGGGAGGAGCCCAGGTGGGTCTTCGCCTGTGGAGCCAGGAAGAGGGGTTCACCTGGTGCCTCCAGCCCGGGAGGCAGCCCCTGTCCGTCCCCGCCCCCTGCAGCCAGCTGCTTAGGCCCTGTGTACCGAGAACCCCGCAGGCTCCCATCCGCTGCCCGGAGCCATCTAGACTGCGGGGTTACTCTCAGGGCCCTGAGTCCAGGGCCACAAAAGCAGACCTTCTGCAGCGAGTGGGATGGAGAGCGGTGGGAGGTGGGGGTGTGGCTGGATTTTTTGCACATCAGGTGCCAGAGACCCGAAAGCTCCCGGGACGCAGCCCTCCCTTGCTGAGCTGCTCTGCAGGCGGGAGAGCCGCCAAGAGAGGCCAGGCAGGTGCTGTGGAGGTGGGGCACTGCCCTCCTTCAGGAGGGCACAGGTACCCACTTGGAGCCTCCTGTGGGAAGGGGCAGCCCACATGGCAGGTGTGTGGGACAGGGAGACAGAGAGAGGCAGAGAGCCCAGAAAGCCAGCGGGGCCTGACTGCTCTGCAAGGCCTCCCCCAGACTCAGAACACCCAGACAGGCTGCAATCCTCCCTGGGCTCAGACCCCGCCACCCACAGCAGCTGCCCAGGAGCTGCCCAGGAGCCCGCATCACGCTCAGTCTGCTCCCTTCTGAGCAACACCCGCTCAGCACACCCACACGCCCAGATCAGCTGCGCTGAGAGCTCAACCCACCGCTGCCCACCCCACACCCAGGAGATCCTTCAGGGCCCAAGAGCCCCTGGGCGGCTGACCCAGGAGACCATCTGCTCTGCCACGCGAGCCCAGGCTGCCCCGGGCTGTTTCCCGGACACAGCCGTGCCCTCCCTCGACGGCCCCTCCCAGCAGGGCCGGGACCAGACCCTGCCGCTCTCCCGCTAACTGTCCTACACCCGACCATCCCATTGCTCCCTCCCAACCTTCCTGCTGCTCCCCCCAGCTACCACCCGCCACCCGCTCCTGTGCAGCTCCAGACCTGGTCTGCTCACTCGCCCTGGACCCCCCCACCCCGACGCGTACCTGCTCAGGACTCCTCAAGCCTCAGCTGGGAGTGGCACCTCCCCTGTGACGCCTTCCCTGCTTTCACCAGCACAGCTGCCCTCTCTGGGGTGCACACTGGCCAGCACTCACTGCCTCTGAGCGCACACTGCCTCCCCCAGCTGGCTCCCAGGTCCGAGGGGGCGCGGCTGGCCCCGGCTCTGCGTCCCGGCTCACAGCTGAAGGAAAGCAGGAGACAGACCAGAGAGAGAGAGGGGTGATGACAACCCAAAGGGGGGAGGAGAGGTGAGGAAGAGGAAGAGGCAGGGCTGCCGGTCACCCGCAGTGGGCCCTTCCCGGCAGGAGCCCAGGCGAGCAGCACCAGGCACTCACCCAGCACAGCTGACGGCTCACAGGGGCCCTGCGTGGGAGGCAGAGCAAATGGCAGAGGGCAGGGTGGGAGGGGGATCTGGGCGCCGGCCCAGGCTGGGCCCCTCCCGTCCCTGCTGCAGCGTCCACTCAGCCGCCCTCCCCTGGCCATCCACGCCTAGGCAGCACCCGCGGCTCACCCAGCCCTTCCCAGCCAGAGGGCGGGCCTCCCCCAGGGCGTGCGCCAGCCTCGGGCGCTGTGGCTGAAGCCTCAGCAAGGGCCTGGCAGCCTGCGTGGCCACGGGCGGGGTGGGAGGTGCCACGTGCTCCACGCTGACTCCTCCAGGACTCCTGAGATGAGGGCATCCCCCAGGTCCTGCTGTCCACAGCCGGCAGGACACAGGGGCCCAGTGAGCCCCAGCACGGCGTCCGGACCCCAGAGAAGATGCAGGCCAGCAGCAGGCCCCTGCGAGGACAAGCCGAGGAGCCCCAGCAGCAGCCACCCCCCGGCCTGGGCAGAACTGGGAAGACTCCTGCTCCCGCTGCAGCCCCAAGTGCCCAGGCCCCCGCCAGCCCTGCCTCCGCCCGCGCAGCCCGCTGCCCACCTCCCCTCCCTGGAGAAAGGGCCCTCTGCTGTGCCCTACCAGCACCTGCCGGGTGCACACTGCAGTCACCTGCAGAGCTTGTTGAAGGAACAAAGCATGAGGGGCTACATCGGAATCTTGGGGGACGCTTTAGGAGTCCAGTACCAGGGCCCCGCCACCCACACGGGACACCTGGGTGGAGTTCCCAGCTCCAGCCATTGCAGGCATTTGGGGAGCAAACCAACAGATGCGCGCTCCACCCGCCTGCCTCTCAAATCAAGAAAAGGAAGGCGGGGGGGAGGGGGACACTGGCCTTCTGACCAGCAGGGTGGGTGGGGCCGCCGTCTGTGACCCTAGCACCCATCCCATCCCATCCGCTCTGCTGCTGACCCGGCTCCTGCTAATGCACCTGGGAAAATAGCAGTGGATGGCCCAAGCGCTAGGGCCCTGCTGCCCACGGGGGAGACGTGGACGGCGATCCAGGCTCCTGGCTTTCGCCTGGCCCTGCCCTGCCATTGTGGCCATTTAGGGGAATGAACCAGCAGATGGAAGATCTCTCCCTCTGTGTCTCCCCCACCCCTCTTTCTGCCTTAAAAAAATAAATAAATCTTTTAAAAAATAAGAAAAAAGGGCTGGCACTGTGGCACTGGGGGTAAAGCGGCTGCCTGCAGCCCTGGCATCCCATATGGGCGCCAATTTGATTCCTGGCTGCTCCACTTCTGATGCAGCACCCTGCTATGGCCTTGGAGAAGCAGTGGAGAACGGCTCAAGTCCTTGGGCCCCTGCACCCACATGCGAGACCTGGGAGAAGCTCCTGGCTTCTGGCTTTGGCCTGGCCTGGCCCGGCCCCAGTCATTGCTGCCATTTGGGGAGTGAACCTGCAGATGGAAGACATCTCTCTCTCTCTCTCTCTCTCTCACTCTCTCTTTCTCTCTCTCTTTCTGTAGCTCTGACTTTCAAATCAAAGTAAAATTTTAAAAAATAAGGAAAGAGAAGAAAAAAAAACGAAGTGCACAGAGAGCTCATTTATCTGTTTCACACACCTCCTTTCCTTCCAGCCACACCGCCCAGGTCCCGGGACAGCCACCGTGCAGGTCTCCAGCTGTGCGGCCACTCTACCTCCCCGGGCGTGCCCTGCTCACACCCTCCGCATCCGTCCCGTGCCCGCTCTGGCTCAGGAATGAGCTGGGGGGACTGCCCACGTGAGCGTGACTGGAAGCTGTGCGCTTTCCCGGCGTTCAGGTGCCGCCTGAGTTTACTCAAGGCACTGTTGCTGGGCCTCTTACATAACTGCTAAGAAGATGCCAGCGCCCGTCGTGGGTAAGCACTCGGGATCACGAGGTGGGTGTGTGTCCAGGGCAGGGCTGGGAAAGAAGAACCCTGGCCCTCCTTTCTTTTCGCCCTGGGGAAAGAGGACCCTCCTCTGCCCCTCCTGGGACCCGGCAAGCAGGGGAGTCCCAGTGTTAATACAGGTCTTCCCCTACCAGGGCCACAGAGCCCACGCCTTAGGTGGTACAGTGGAGGGACAAGGCCAGCCTTCCACAAGCCACAGGCGGCTTGAACGCACCGAGTTCTTCCCGGGAGCACCCACGTCTGGGGGCCGCGGTCCTGACACCGCCTGCCAGGGGCCAGCTACGTGGGGAGGCAGAGGCAGGTGCACAGCAGACGCGCTGGCACTGTGATGGAGGGATGCTGCCTTCTGCAGACACACTTCCCTTCTCTCTCGTCCTCCCTCGGGGCCAGGACAACCGCTCCACTCTCCCCGCTGCGGACTCAGGTGGCGACAACAGACCCCTGAGCCAGCCAGGATGCTGTCCACACTGGAAAGCCGGCCTGCAACTAGCTCCCAGAGTTCCAGACCTCTCTTTATTTGAAGGTCAGCGCTATGGCATAGTAGGCTAAGCCTTCACCTGCTGCGCCGGCATCCTATGTAGGCGCCGGTTCAAGTCCCGGCTGCTCCTCTTCTGATCCAGCTTCCTGTTATGGCCTGGGAAAGCAGTGGAAGATGGCCCGAGCACATGGGCCCCCTCTCAAACCCTAGTCTACCTCCTACCCCAGGCTCTGGCTGGAGCCGTGTGCAAGGTTCTGTGTGCATGCCCCCCCCCTTCCCTGCGCCCCGATCTCGCCACGCAGGCCCAAGCTCTCTCACCAAGGCACTCAGTCAGGTGCTCAGCTGTTCCTGTGGGGGCGGGCACTGTTGCTGCGCGGCCATTCCCAGCTCTGCCTGGGCCCCCCTCCGGCTAAGCACTCCTTCCCCAGCTCTGCCTGGGCCCCTCTCCGGCTAAGCACTCCTCCCCAGGATGGGGTCCCCTTGCTCTTGCCACCCCTCCCTCACCTCCCTGACCTGCGGCCTGGCCTGTAGCTCCACAGTGACCAGGCCCCACCCTCCCTCCGCCCTAACCTCTGCCTTAGCTGCGCCTGGCTCCCCACTGGACATGCCTTTTTTTTTTCCAATACTTGAGAGGTAGACAGATCTCCCCTGCACTGGCTCACTCCTGCCCTCGCCTGCCTCCAGGGGCAGGAAGCTGGCATCAGCGGCCCAGCCTCCAGGAAGAACCGCTGCCCCTAGACCAGGCTCCCTCCTCTCGCCTCAGGCCTTGCACAGTGCGTGGTGCGCATGCTCACCAATCGCCCTGCAGCTGCAGGGTCCTTTTGGAGGCAGCCAGCCCTGAAGCGAGAGCAGCCAGGTCTACCCCAGCCACCCTCCTCTGAACTTGCTGCTCTCCGTGCAGAGCATGAGAGAGACCAGGCCCCGTGGTCCCGCCCACTGAGCCCCCCATCCCGCCGCATGGCTCCGCCCACTGAGCCCCGCCTGCCACCAGCCCCTTGCAGGGTCCCTGGAGGTGCCTCTCCCAGGGGAAGTGGAGCTGGGGTCTCCTGGCCGCCGCTGCCCCATCTACGCTCGCCTGCATGAGCCACTCCTGGCGGCAGGCGAGGCCCTTGGCGCACGGAGGAGGGGGCTCAGTGACTGCCCCGGCCCCTGGGGACCCCTCCCGGCTCTCCTCCCTGCAGCCAGGGCCTCCCAGCCGGCCCGGCCCAGAGCTCCAAGCCGGCAAGCTGCAGACGGAGCCGCGCCGCCGGAGCCGCAGGCCTTCCCGCCCGCCGGGGGCTGCCAGGCCCCGCAGACACTTGGCTCCGCAGGGTGCGCGCCTGCGGCCGGCCGCGCCCGTCTGCCCGCCCGGCTGGCGGCGTCCCCCGGGCGAGCCGGCACCCACATCTGGCTGCACAGCACCGCTCGGCGGGCCTCCTCGGGGGCCGGGCCACCTCCGGACAAGAAGCCGGCCATTCAGGTCTCCAAACAGACTTGGCCTTCACCGCGAAACAGGGCAGCCCTGTGCGGCTGGGGGCCACCCTGCTGAGGCCGGCAGCCAGCGGACCACAAGTCCCCTCTGTGCTTACGGGGTAAACCCCGCCCCGGCGCCCCAGGACGCCCCACCTCAGAACACCTCCGGCTTTGTAGACACTCCAGGGTCCTCCCAGGTCCTGAAGGAGCCTTGGGGGAGGGGCAGAAGACAGGGGTGCAGGCCTGGACTTAAGGAAAGCCCAGCTCCTACCCCTCCTGGGCCTCAGTACTCCTTCCGGAAAGGGGCAGGCACAGTGGGGAAAGTGAGGCCGGGAATGGGGTGAACTGTCAATGAGCGCTGGCCCTGCATGGCCAGAAGCGAACCCCGCCCTGGAGAGGCTGCCCCAGACACAGCGCAGGCTCCCTTGACTCTGCACCTGCCTTCTGCAAAAGCCCCCCCGCCCCCCGCCAACTACTGTGCATAGACAAGTGCTGCGTGGTGAGACCCCAGCTGCCCTTGGCACTGCCTGCAGGGAGAGGCAGACCCGGGGGTGAAGGAACCGTCCTGGGGTCCCTGGAGGACCCCCGCAGACAGAAGGCACAGGTAGGGGTGAGTGGTGAGGCACGGAAGGCTGGCAGGACCCGTGTGTCCCTGCGAGGGTCTTGTCACCTGGAAGGCAGAGCCACGGGGTGCTTAGCCTGGCTATGCGACACAGTCCACATCAGAGGACCTCTCCCCTGGCGCCAGCTTCCTGCTAATGCAGACCCCGGGAGGCAACGGTGATGGCTCAAGTCGCTGGGTCCCTGCCACCCTGGGTGAGAGACGTGGATTGAGCTCCCAGCTCCGAGCTCCCACTTGGCCCAGGCTTGGCCACTGCAGGCATTTTGGGAATGGACAGGCAGATGGGAGCTGTGTGTGTGTGTGTATCTCTGGCTGTCTGCCTCTCAAATAAATAAAAGCAATAGGGATCCAGTAAAGAAACTTAAAAAAAGATGTATTTATTTGAAAGGCAGTTACAGAGAGACCTTCCATCCACTGATTCACTCCCCAAATGGCCACAAATGGCCAGGAATGGGCCAGGCCACACCAGGAGCCTGGAACTCCATCCAGGTCTCCCACATGGTGGCAGCTGGGCCATTTTCTGCTGCTTTCCCAAGCACATCAGCAGGAAGCTGGATCGGAAGTGGAGCAGTCGGGACTCGAACCAGTGTTCATATGGGATGACGGCGCCACAGGCAGCTGCTCCATCCACTGCACCGCAATGCCGGCCTCCCAACAAAGGACTTTAAACGGTAACTGGACCGTCAGCTTTGTGTGTGGAAAAGATGGCTGGGACACACAGATTTGCTTCCAAGTGAAAGCTGGGAGTGGGGTGGGGGTCTGCAGGATGAGCACTGAGGAACGGGGGTTGTGGTCCGTGTGGAAGATGACAGCGGCACGTGGTTCACTTTACAATTCTCCCATCCTCCTGCATGTCCCATGTTCCCCTGGGAGACGGGTCAGTTAGGAGGCCGCGGCCCAGCACAGGGTCAACGCT